AATCGTACGGTGTCGAATAATTTGGTGTCGAATAAATCTGTGTCGAATCGAGCGGTGTCGAATCGTACTGTGGTCAATAGAGTATCACCCCTTAGAATTTAGTCAAGAATATGTATTTTCAAGGATAACGGATTGTTCTGAATCACCCTGTATATTAGAGTAGATGCACCATTTGTGGCCACTTTAAGGATTTTTGTATCATTTAATGACATAAAACTTACTAAAAACTACATAAATAAAAATTCAAAACGTATCACTATAACCTAAAATACATAGAAAATCAAATAGTTACAAGTTACAGAATGTTTAAAATGTAATTGCAAAAAAATCAATAAATTATTGTGACATTTCATTTTGCACCATTTGTGGCCACATTTTCACTATTTGTGGCCAGTCAATTTTATGATTAAGCATTGTCCAGACGAAAGTAACAATAAAAGTTTAAGTGACTTTTAAGTGATTACAAACATTTAGTTTTAAACAGTAATTATGATACAAAATAATAATAGCAACAAACCATAAAAAAATTCAAGTTTAAGAGTGAATTTAGCTCCTATGGTTAATAATTAAACGAAGAAAAAATATTGAGTCAATGCAATTCGAAGCAAGATGTTACAGCAAACTAAATTTTTTAAATTTATTTTAAACGTGTAAGTTATTACACGTAATAATTCAAATTAAATTCCAATTCGAAAATTTACCTAGGATGCATGGTTTGCATCTTATGTAGATTAAATAACCAAATTATTCCCTCAATAAAGCGAGAGATACACTTAGTGCCTCGATAGCCGAATTGGAAAGACATCCGATATGATAAGCGGGCGGTCCAGACTCTTGGCCGAGGTTTTTTTGCATTAGGCTTTTCAATTTCCATGGATAATTCGGGTCTTCCATTTAACATGCAAACCAAGCATTCTAGATGAATTTTTGAATTGAAATTTAATTCAATATATTCCGTGTAATAATTTACACGTTTAAAATAAATTGAAAAAATAAAATATATTTGTGATAAATTACAAGCAAAAATTAATTTAAACTGTGAAATAACAATTATACAACAGTTACTATACAATCAGATTTCAGAGAATACTTACCAACCAAAAAAATGGCTATACCGTGTACTATTTGTGGCCAAAAATGCTGCAATTACATTTTTAATGTACCATTTGTGATCAGTAGTTATTTCTAGCATATTATATGTTATATCCTTACAATTATTGTTTGAATCTTAAAAATATTTCTTACAAAAACTTTAAATATGCATAAAACTTCAGCTATGCTTGTGTCTAATTAGTAATTACATATTTGTTTACTTACTGGTAGTACATTAAGCAATGTTTTAAGGATGTAGAGCTTTCCTAAATGCTTGCATATTTACATATCATATTTATATTAAACGACACAAATAAACTGTGAAAACTATTGCTAATAGTAAAACCACCTAACTTTGTCATCGCTAACTTCATTCATTGTAATAAAACTAACCTAATGTATGCTTAATATTAAAATACATGAAAAAGTAGCCACAAATGGTGTAATGGTCACAAATGGTGCATCTACCCTATGTATTATATATTATATATTATAATAATTATTATATATAAAAATGTTATACACACACAAAGTGTGTTGCGCTTATTGTCTGTGGTTGATCTCTTTCTGTAAATTCATTCCTGGAAATTTGAAATTTATATGCCAATGACAAGCAAAACTCGGAAAGTGCTTGATAAGCACTGAGTTCTCTTGAACGCAGCAGCCAATTTCTTCTTTGTGTCCAACGCGAATCAAGATAGAGGTGTGTTTCTTCTGTAAAAGATGGTCATTTGTTTTTGCCATTTTATGAGTTACAAGATAGATTTAATATTCTAACAGTTTTTAACAACCATATGACAGACATCGATGTCTTGTTCTGTTACCGTCATGTTGCTCCTATGTTGCAGAAAATAAGTGACGAAGCGAAGAGAATTTCATAAATAAAAGTCATTTTGTTGACAACATAAGGAACAACAGTTGTTCTCCGTTTGCTCTAAATCTGTTGATACAAAATGTTTCAAAATTATTCTGTGTGAGTGATTACGTATGACTATGCATTACTTTTTCAGCAACTCGAAAATTTCTGCTCAGCATTAAGTTACATGACTTTACAAAATACATACTTAGCTATCAGGGCAAGTTAATACATGAAAAAGAACTACAGACAGAGATAGAAATAATATCCGAGATTGTAATAAGATCATCAAATTATGATTAAAAAATTTACAATAGATAAAAGATCTTAACTACGGTGAAATCTAACCTCTTTTTATGTATGTCTTCGTTTCTCTAATGTAAGATTCTCTTCTTTTAGAATCATGGAATGCATAAGGAATCAGGAGCACTTAAGAGGAGAGCGGCAGTGCGGTGTAAAAAGAACGAATTCATAACACAAACATAATGCTTCTAATTATTAACTGCTACCTTAAACTACACTGAATAGATATACAAAAATTAATCAAAATGGTTATAGGAACAACGCGTAACTTATAAATGACTAATCGACGTTCTTAGCCGAGAGACAAAAGATTCACACGTCGTTACTCCGAGTTTTCACGCAACCAATAACTCGTGTCGTGAGACGAGCTCTTTCGGCAGCTTTTACAGCGCCGCCTATGCGATCTATCGAAGTCGAACTGGATCGATAGTTACCTTATCGATCCCTGATATACATAAAGAGGTCGCTTGACGACCGTGTGATTGCAAAATTATCTTATAGCATCGGCCGTCCTAAGCACACGTTCGTCCCGAACGTTTCTCTCTTTTTTTTTTTTTTTTTTTTTTTTTAACACGAACACATTGATTTTATCTAACCAGGTAAGTGACATTTACTATACTTAATTACGAGGTTAGAACTGGTTTAATCCAAGGCTTTAACTTGTCTGGTGATAGTATTGCGTTATACGGTTTTTGTGCAACATTAAAGCCTGGGATATCAGTTACTACAAAGCGGTTCTTATTTAGTACCTTAGAAATCATGTAAGGGCCTTTGTACGCTGACTTGAATTTAGAATTTTCACCTGGTTTGTTGTGCAGATCACGAACCATTACATAATCTCCTGACTGATACTGACTCGGTTTTGTATGTTTCGAATCATAATATTGTTTGTTATAAAGACGAAGTTTTTCAGAGGCTTCAACGGCGATATCGCGATTGACATCCTTTTCTGTTGGCAAGTCAGTGTCTTGCTGAGTCAACTGCCGGGTTAATTCAGCAAGGTCCTTATCGGCATGATTTTTACAATCATAACCCAACAGCAATTTCGCCGGGGTACTTTTAATGGACATATGGTGAGTATTGCTTAAAACATATTGCGCCTCATCTATATATGATTTCCATTCCGACGCGTCTGAGATAAGTTTTTTGAGTGAAGATTTCAAAAATTTATTCACCCTTTCTACTAGACCGTTCGCCCAGGGAGACGCTACCGCAACCAGACGATACTTTACTTTACGCGAATCTAAAAAATCCTCGGAATCTCTAGAAGTGAACGCGGTGCCTCTATCGGTGACAAGCTCGTCTGGATTTCCGAAAGTGCGGAACAAGTGATTAAGGTGAGCCAACACTTCTTTTGCGTTTGTAGTCTTAGTCGGCATCAGCCATGTAAAACGCGTGTAAGCATCGACCGCGATAAATACGAAACGATAACCGTCATCGGTAGTCTGCAACGGACCGAAATGATCGAGATGTAGAATTTCTAAAGGTCTTGTAGGCAATGAGGTTAATTGCATCTCGCCCTCGCGTGCGTGTGACAAGGTATTTGCCATAATACAAACAATGCAATTTTCGATATGGTCAACTATTTTTTTTTCTCATCGAGGGAAACCAATGCGTTGCCGAAATCCCTTTAACCGTTTTCTCGCAATGTGCCATGTTATCATGGTAAATCCTTATCACATTTGACACCATAGCATCCGGTACCGCAAATCGCGATCCGTCGGTTGTTTTACGATAGACTAATCCGTCGATTAATTCAAACCTATCATCGTCGGCAAACTCTAGGTTGGTAGCAATCTTGCTGAGTCTAGGGTCTAGAAGCTGTTTTAATTCGAGCTCCCTTTCGAGGGGTAAAGAATTTATGTAAGTAACTTGTCTGCTTAACGCATCTACATGAGCCATCTTTTGGCCGATTCTATGTTTAATTTTAAATTTATAATTTTGCAGTGCCAAAGTCCATCGAGCAATCCTTGGGTTCAGATTAGCTTTGTTAACTGCATGTACAATAGCGTTGCAATCGGTGAATACTGTAAATTCGATTCCATAAAGATAAATATGAAATCGTTCCACTGCCCGCACAACCGCGAGCATTTCCAGCTCGAAGCTGTGATAATTGGACTCTGCCTTATTTGTCGCTTGGCTAAAATATGCTATCGGAGCAAAATTACCTGAGAGCTGCTTTTGCAAGAGGATACCACCCAAACCGTGCGAGCTTGCATCGGTATGCAGCTGCGTTTCAGCCGTAGGGCTGTATAAACAAAGAACCGGCGGTGAGCTCATTTTTTAGGTTTTCGAACGACTTCACACAATCCTCATCGAAAGCAAACTTCACCCCCTTACGTAACAAATCACGAAGCGGTTTAACTTTAATAGTATAATTTTGAATGAATTTTCTGAAGAAATTAGTGAGTCCCAGAAATTGCTGGACTTGATGGACATTGACCGGCTGAGGAAAGTTTGGTAATTATGCAGTTATACGGACTATTTTCCGATCTCAACAATTTTGACATATGTTATCAAGGTCACCTCCCTGAATAATAATATGAAGGTTTTAGCCGTCGCTCATTGTTTATAAAAAACTTATGAACAAAAAAAGTTTCATGAATAAAC